AAATTACAGTTAAAGAGATATTTTAAATGTTTTTAAATTATTATTATATCAAATGATAAACGTCAAGAAATATGTAAAAATAAAAGTATAATTTGTTCACGAGTTTATTTTCAAGTGTGGCGTCACTTTCGTTTTTGTTTAAATAGATGTTGCTTTTCCCGCGTTTACTACGCATAACGCAATATTTGATGGATTAATATACTTTTCTTATATACAAATAAACAGAAATCAAAGTCATGTTTATAATAAATGTTTCCTAAATTGTTTAACTTTATATTATAGTAAATACTTTTATATTTTAAGGCCGAATTGCATTAAAATTTTAACTTGTCAAAAATTAGAAGAAATTCTATCATGTATTTTTGCTAATGTCAAGATTTTGTACATACATACATACATAGAATATATATAATAAATTTTGAATGAAATATAGGAACATTTTTATATTATTTATATTTCAATATAATATTTTATTTTTAAATGCACAAATCCTCTTTCAACTGCAGAACGTATAAAATAAAATATATTTTAATTTGTTTCAAATAAATAACGTCTTTTATACATTTACTTCATAAATATAATTAAAAATTATTTTTTACGATATATAAAAATTATTTTTTACGATATGAAAAAATAAAACTTTAATAGCCAATCTATTACAACAATATTTCTAAACGAAGTCTTAAACATAAAAAAACAATCTGAGAATATTGCAGTATAACGCCATTGTATCAACGAGGTTAAATTTTTTGTACTTAAACACATTGCCAGTAATTTAATATTGAATATTTAAAATATTTACATCTAATTTAGAAAACTTTTAATATAGAATTATTTATACGACAAAATTAATTTACGTTTTAGTCAAACCAAAGCAATAAAGTCGTTAATTTGTTCAGTTCAATGTAAACTGCATTGTTGTTGGCAATACCTTTATATTGTCTTATTATTCACACAAATAATTACTCAATTTTAATGCAATACTTAGTAAAAAACAATATTTTAGTTCTATATATAAAGTAGTAAATTAATATCATAAGTTCTAAGTATTTTTAAAGACGATTTTCAACAAAAAAAAATTACAACAGTTTAAATCACAAACAGCCAATTTCGTCCGTATTATTAAAATAAACATTAATTCTAAAATAAGGTTGAATATATTAATATTTTAATATATTAAACAGTATCCGTTAATATAATGGATGACATGACACAGTTATATAATCTGTGGACGTGATGTAACAATTTGAATTAGAAGAGAGTTTCCGGTATCGAAATTAATTTTTTTCACACGCGAATCCAATGTTACATTATTACATATTCGCAAATCATTGCATTCTAATATATATATTTCATTTATGTATTATTATTATTTATACGTGTATATTTAGTTTAAAATTATAAAATAATCAGAATTTGTATACTACTAAAATATTATCTGTGCCTTTATAGTTTTCGATAATGAATTATTTATAAGTAATAATATTAATCTACTTATAAACATGTTTATTATTAAATCTCAAGGATTTTTATATGTATTTAGATTAATAATTTATCATATACTTCTAATGTTTTTTTTTGGAAACTAATATTAAAGCTTGGGTTTATTATATTCAACCTGTTAGTTATTTAATTGTTTTTTTTTATTCTATTGAAGAAGTAACAATCATTACTTTGTTCTGTCGGAACTCGGGTCCCGTTCAAGGCACACAACTTTCGCGTGAGCTTTAAAGATAACGAATTAATTTAATAATATAACATATAATACATATAATTATAGTATCCATTTTTGGCAATTTAAAATTGTACAATTGGAAGAAAGTGTATGGAAAAAAATAATATCTTAATTAAATTTGATTTATTTAAAATTTTCTTCCATGTAGCGTGATAGTATTTAAAATTTCATATTGAAAATATCGTATTTATTTTATTTATTGAAATTAAAGTAAATAAAACTTAAATTACTCTCAGTTTAATACATTATAATATCATAATGATTTTTAAAAAAATAATTTTTCACTTTGTTTATTCATACTGCTAATCAAATAGTTTAGATTACTAGAAATGAATTATAAAAAGAATAACAGCTTAATATAAGCAAGACAATAATAAAAAACAAATTTGATGCTAAAACATAATTAAATCAATTAAACTCACACAAAATTAGCATCCAAATGGCACTAAGGTTCCAAAATAGTAATTTAAGTTACATGTATACAGCCAATATCAAGAGAAAATCAAAAAGGAGGTTGAATATTAACCAAAAAGGTTAAACACTACAAAACTTTGTGGACACGTTAAGTTTTAAACACGCACTGACTGTGTAGTGATAGTGGAATTGGTTTTAAGACCGTGTTGAGTGGTGGGCGTTGAAATAATAAATAACGGATTTTATTAATTAATATTATATAGATTAAAACTAATTTTAATTTGATTTGACATAAATATTATTATATTTTTGCCGCCATCTTTTATGTCATGTCACAAGGTGGTTGTGTTTATAAGGAATTTAACGGGAAATTTGATATGATACAATAAAATCATAATTAAAAAGTAAGTAATTTAAAAATATGAAGACAATGAACAGATATTGTAAGAAATTATATCAAATATAGATCTTCCTTTCTTCTCAGCCTGCATTGATGAAGAGTTATATTTTTTATTAAATTTTCTCTTCAAACAATAACTTCAATATCTTATGTCATTATCAATCACAACACATAAAGTTTTTTTCTAATATCCTTAATATTAGTTTCATCTAATTAAATACTGCTAGTTTCAAAGTATTGTTAAAAATAATAAAAATATTCGAATAACCTTTTATGTTTGAAATTTTGACAGGTGACTCGTTTTAATATAAAATGGCGCCAATTCCTTGACATTTTGTTAATAAAATTACGATATTTTGCTTAAAGAATACGAAAGATGTACAAAAATATGACTGTTATATCTATATACATTTTTTATTTAGTTTATATTGTAATAAATGCAAAGTAATATATCAGATATTACGCCGTTAATAGTACCATTTGAAATTCCTTTCATAAGCTAGCAACCATTTTTTGTCCATTGACAAGAAGTTTAGAGTTGCTACACTCTTTAAGCATAAATTACTTATTTATATAATAGTATTTTGTTGCAATAAAACTATTATTCTCACTAAAAATGTACATTAAGGAGTATTAAATAAAAATATTTATATATTTACAATCCCTTATATAAATTAAATATTGTTATTGTCTTCAAAACATAAGAAAATGTCTCTGAGATTTAAAAAAATATTAATAAATCACCTCTAAGATAAAATTTTCATGTTATTAATAAACTTATAATTATTACACAATTTTTACATAGTACTTTAGTTGTAACGACATTACTTCATTAAATTAAAAAGTTTTTACTCTTCGTTGGTTTCTATGCGTATAAAAAAATTAAATACGTTTTGAAAAACATTTAAATAATATAATATCATAAAAAAATATAGTAAATTAATCATAAATGAAAAATATGTGCAAAATATATAAAGCAGATTATATTTCACTGCAGAAATATATATAATTATATGAATGATAATGTAAATACATGTAATACATTTTAATATTTAACCGCAATTTTTTTGTTCATTTTAAATACCCAAAAGTTCAATGATGGTGAATATATTGTGGTTTAGACTAACAGATATTCGTACTAAGTGTAAAATCGATTAATTCAAGGATTTCATGCGTGGTATTTCGAATATAAATCGAGTTACAAGCTTCACAACTAAATGTTAAGGTATTTAAAGTCAAAGTTCGCGTTTAAAGTACGAAATAGTTAGTAGCATTACGAGTTTATGGATGCAAATTATTTTATAAGAAGTATTTTGTAAACATAAAGATAGTAAAATGTGTAAATACATAATTATATTTTTCTATATAAGTGACATAAAAATTGAAATCGTGAAAATAAAAAGTTAATTGCGTACACTGTTGAAAAGTTTTGGTTTAAAAATAGAATTGACATTATGTCATCTTAGTGTGAAATACATCATTTTATTTTATGTAACATAATTTCGACAAGACACGTATCGGCTCGTTGGTCTAGGGGTATGATTTTCGCTTAGGGTGCGAGAGGTCCCGGGTTCAAATCCCGGACGAGCCCAATCTATTTTTATATTTTTTTATTCTTTGTACTTCAACTATCTTGTTAGGTAATACTAAATTTCCTTTATTTAAGATATTACTTTCAAAATATGCATATATAAAATTTCTTGAAGGCTAATAATTTTGAGGTTGATTGTAAGATTAAGTCAAGGTCAAATCTCTTTCAAGTTAGTAATAAGTATTTTATATTAATTGATTTTATAAACACTATAATATAAAGAAGAGTTTTAAAGAAGATATTTAGAAAGTATAGTGTTGTGTGTTGTAACTTAAAGATTAGCTATCTATCATTTTTACGACTTCAGATTACAAAATAATTATAAACCATATTTGTGTCATGTTATATAAGGTTTACCCTGTTTTTGTATATCTCTTAGATAATTATTTTATTTAATAACTAGTTTTCGTCCGTGTTTCCGCTCGCTCATATGTTGGCTGTCTCCTAAGGCCTTTGACCTTTCAAATTCTTGACAAGCGTTAATTGCAGTATAATAATATTTAAACAGTATTTTCATCCAGTACAGGTTATAAAGACAAAAAAAGTTGCTTTTTAATAACAATATATATTCGTGTCTATACTATTATAATTACTTACTTAATGAAAGAACATCACTTAGAAGGAATAAGAATTTCTTATTTCTTATATACCAAATATACATCGAAATTTATAGTTAATACATAAAATCTGTGCAAGGAGGTGTTAAAAACTTAATACTTATATGGCTATTAAATAATAAACATTTAAAATTTTAAGTGTTATTTATTTTTCAAAAATTAGTTAAAGCGCCATCTATTGTCGGTAGTCCGAACACCTTTATGTTACTTGTTTATAAAGTGATGTTTAATAGTATTGTGAAGTTAAATGCTCGTCATGAAATAATCTTCTGGTGGACAGGGGTCGTTTGTATCAATTGGTTTGTATCTATATATCTTTCCTTTTGTTCCTATTATAATATTACTTTTATGGTCGAACGCCATTCCCGTTATTTTGAAACCTAGTTGACCAATCTTGACTGGTAGAATACTTTTCGTGAACAGTCTGAATAAGGAGCCTTTCACAGCTACGATAGCTTCATCATTGTTATTCAAGCGCAGTACGTACTTCAATTCCCTAGTAAAACCTTTATATTGTATAGGTTCGTAAAAATCTACTGAGAAGAAATATAATCTGCCGTCCACGTATTCATAGAAGGCGTTTCCTTTACTGTCTAAAATAAAGCTGTATGCTTTAGGTATTTTTTCGTAGCGCTTTACAGCGGCTGAACCGTTGACGAATCGGAATATTTCGTGATTCGTCCCAGTAGTGATGTACATCTGATTATCGGTTCTATCGATAAAAATGCTTCGTACATCATCATCACCGATTGGTCTTTCCGCTGAGATTTCTGTTCTAGAATAATCGTATGTTATAAGCCCTTGATTTGTGCCGATGTATATTATATTATTAATTTTATCTATAGCAACACATTGGCCTATAATATCGTCTGATACTGGCAATTCTTTTATGCCGAGTGACCCGTGCTTCAATAGATGAATTCCTTTGGTGTAATTCCTTTTGTGTAGAATGAAGAATATATGTTCGGTCCGTGGGTCCACAACTATTCCCGTAGGATATCCGTCAATGGTAGCTATTAACTGCCGCTTGTAATACTCGTTGCCTATTTTAGTTCTATCGCATCTTTCGCAAGTTATTTCAGCGAAGACGCCTGCCGATATTAAAACGGTGAATACACGTTTCAGGAACATGTTGAAATCATGACAGGATTTGCTGAAAATATAACAAAAATATTAATCAAAATTACGTTAAACGAGCGTAGTTATAGACGTCAATTAGAATAATATTGACGAATGACAATGGAAGAAGTTATACAGGGTGACTGGTGAATTACTATCGATACTTGAGGACGTGATATTTGACGATCATATATGACAAAATAAAAATTAATATAACATAAATATTAATAAAATTCTGAGTAAAGTTAACCAAAAGTTATGTAATTAATTACGCATCGTGTGAACACCCTACAGATTAGGTATACGTACACACACTCACACACGCGTGCGGCGGCGTGGTGTTGTATCAGTTGGAACACTTGGAACACTTGGAACGTGTCTACACTTTATTTATTTATACGGAAATTTGGTCAAAAATTAAGTACCTATTTTTTTTCCATAATTCGAATGAGAATCATGTACCGAGTATTCTCCTTAAATATTGATAGTAATTCACCAGTCACCCTGTATATTTTAATAGCTTTATAATAAGTCAAATAAAATTGATTTATATATACCTGAATAACGAACGGTCCTAAGCACAGAAGTGTAGTGAGATATTGAAGGCATGGCGTCTTTTTAAAACATAGCTATTGTGTCATCGTTGTGTGTGTGTTTGTAAACATCTGTCGAGTAGCCTGGGAACTATACGTAGGGTCGGATCATATTATGTTTAAATTTAATGTTATCTATTAATAACCACCATATATTACTTATATGTAGGATTGAAAAGAGTATGTTTATATTAAAAAGAGAATTTCTTTCACTTTATAAAGATAAAGTATTTAATTATAACCAGCTTTCCGCCCGCAGCTTCGCCCGCGTGGAGTTCGGTTATATCGCGATTCCAAGAGAACCTTTCAAAAGTCTGGGATAAAAACTATCCTATGTTCTTTCACAAGGTCAACTCTATCTCTGCACCAAATTTAATTAAAATCAGTTCAGTGGTTTAGGCGTGAAAGCGTAACAGACAGACAGACAGAGTAACTTGAGCATTTATAATATTAGTAGGGATGAATTTCTTTGTATAATTTCAGTGATACTTTAATTTCTGGTTCAGTTACCATTACGAAGATGCATTAAAATTGTTAAGTCTTTATTATTATTCACTTTCGATAATAGGGAGAATATAGGTATGTCTAAATTTTTTAAATCAGAATATTCTTTGAGTTAGTCGTGTGTGAATGTTGTATGGAGTTTATCATAATAACAACTTACCTACAGTCAGATTGACAGAAAGACAATCAAACTGTTTGATATATATATGAAATTCAAATTGAAATAAATATGCCAAAAAAATATTATTTGTTGGACAATGAGATACATTTTTACTTTAACAACGTTCTTACGCTGACATTGGCAAAATCCATGATTCCACTGCGAATGAAGCCATAGCATTAAACAAAATATACATGCATGCATCCCTACTAATATTATAAATGTGAAATTAACTCTGTCTGTCTGTTACGCTTTCACGCCTAAACCACTGAACTGATTTCATTGAAATTTGGTACAGAGATAGAGTTGACATTGAGAAAGAACATAGGATAGTTTTTATCCCAGACTTTTGAAAAGTTCCCTTAGAAACGCGATATAATCGAACTCCATGCGAGCGAAGCTGCGTGCGGAAAGCTAGTATTATATAAGAATGAGTCTTCTCATTTCACATTTTTTAAGCTACATTCATCTTATGTGATTAAATTGATGAATGAAATACTAAAAATATTTCGTATTTAGTAAACTATGAACACTCGTGTTAAAAATACCTTACAATTATCTTTTCACATTATTACTCTAGCTCTAGAATCACATAAATTACGATTTTAATATATAAAATTAATTTGTTATATTTAATGAACACCCTGTATAATGTATTAGAAGTTATATAGAGTGATGTAATGATTATTGTACTATAGATATAATAACAAATGGATATACAATGATCTTTAGAGTATAACGAATCGGCAGACGCGTTTTGATCGTACTTAGAACCTGATAGTTATTTGTGATAACGGTAAGATTTTTTTAATATATAATTAAAGTTTTTTAAGCCTATTATTCTGATTATTAATTAATAATAATTCATAATTGGGACGTTAAAACAAGTATAATGTATAAATAGTCTTGTTATAATTTTATCAAGTTTTATATTAGCTATATATAGAATTATAGGTAAAACCACTACTGACTTAATAATTTAAGTCAGTAATAGCCTAGTGGTTATAAGGCCCGCCTCTCATGCACGAGGATGCAGGTTAGGTCCTGGCAAGTACCAATGTGATTTTTCGAGTCATATGTACTTTCTGAGAGTATTTAGACATCACTGATTAATGCATTCCCAAAGAGGGTTGATGTCAGGCAGGCGGCCGGTCGTAAAAACAATTAGTCAAAACTATTTACAACATGTAAGCAGACCCTGGCTAAAGCTGGGAAATTGCCAGGTAGAAGAAGATAGAATTTTAATATACAATGTACGTATAAAATATCTGTATATAGTTCTGTCAAATTTGATGTACAGATCATTATAGTTGTAACATACGAACAGACATACATAAACATAACGCAACTTATTTAAAATCGGTAAAAACTATATGTTCATATCGGCTATCGTACTTTCACTATTCATAAACGTCTAATCCGGAAACCTAACTGAGTCTGTAAAACGAGTTTTAGTTTATTATACATTTAACTTCTAAATTACTTTCTAGACTTTCTTTATTAATTAACCAAAAATATTAGTGCTTATTTATTCATATATATGTTATATTATTATGTTTATAATGAAAACAAAATTTAAGAATTTGTTAATCGTATATGCGTATTATATAAAAATTACTTTATATATTTAATTATGTCATTGTAGAATATAAATGTTTTTAAGTATGGATGAATTTTCTGTTATCTAAAGATCAAAACACTGTTTAAAATTCTAAAATATTTATTGTTCACAGAATTCTAAATTAAATTCATAAATGATACCGCTTGTAGATATAAAGAAGTCATATCCATTGAAAACTATACCAGAAGGTATAAAATCGAGGTTCATAAGTTTCTTTGGTATAATCGAGTTTGGTTGCAACCAATACAAGCCGTCATTAGCAGCTAAAATAACTCTATTCCTATCATCAATTGCCATTGCTCTGGCCGCGTTTTTCGTCAGACCTACATATTCTATAGGTTCAACGAAATCTTTTAATAGAACTTTCACGTATTTCGAATCACATTCGTAATAAATATTACCATCATCATCCACAGCTAGTATGAAAGCGCAAGGAACATTCTCGATTCTTCTCTTTTCAATCCGTTGTAAATCTATTTCATAAACTTCACTATCCGGGAATATAACCGCGTATAGTTTGTCATTGTTTGCAGTTTTGAATAGCTGTGTTATATCCTCGTCTTTGAATGCTAGGAAATTTGTTTGATAGGAACCATTCAGTACATTTAAACCGTCATCACTTGCTATATAAACTTTATTATTTCTATTATCAACGGCTGCAGCCTGACCGTTTATATCATCAATTTTGATCGGGTGTCCGTTTGCTAGCACGTATTGCTCCATTTTAGTTTGTACGTCATCATCTTGTAGAGAATCTATGTCTATGACTGTAAAATGTAAGTCTTTGTTGTTCTGATTGTAAGCTAGGTTCGTTGGTAGACCCTTAATGGTAAAAATTGACCGTCTTGAATATACAACGCCATCGAACAGGTCAGAACAGTTTTCAGCAAAAACTGGTGACGCAATCAGCAATAGTAATATCAGCATGATGATAACTGGAAATATATAAAACATTCCTTTTAAAATTTATATTTAATTATATATTTGTATTACTTTAATTTTATATACAAATTGTTTGTTTTGTATGTGCGTTTGTGTTGACCTCTTTCTCGGTAATACATATTACGCAAGAAGCAAATTCTCAGAATGAAATAACTAATAAGAAACAATTCATTTAGTATTTGGTGTATTGAATTACTTAAAACTATAAAAGTATTAAATAACTAAACTAAGTTACTTTATGTTCTTTATATTATTGTATTTAACTAATAAATATTTTTTCTAATGTGACGTATAATGAAATATTCACAATCGGAAATCGAATCGAAATGGAATTTTATTTCATTTAAATTAAATTTTTATATTACTAGAATTGTAATAGTAATCGTTTTTAATATAAAGAATAAAACAATGAAATAATCTTTATAATTTTTGAGCATTTCATCTCATCTGTCCGTGATCACGGTTGCTGCAAAGTAACCGAAACATCGGCAGTATGTAAATGAAAACTTTACCGATTTTATACAAAAATAAAGCCAAGTAATACATCCAAAAAATATTACATTCATTTAAATGAACTCGCGAAAATCTTAGATCTCATTATCGGTGGTATGTAGTTTAAAATAATTAAATAACGCGTATGTAGTAATACTTAAAATATAAGTTTTATTTTTTCTACAAAATCATTACTTACACCTATTTATAATATTAATATTAATTTTTTTAATAGTCGTATATATTGCAAAATACTCACATTTATGTATCACAGTCCGAGTTCCGAGATTGTAATGAAATGTTTATTGAGTTTACTAGTTCATTGAACTGCTTATCTATAAAAATGTATTAATAATTCACTTGTGTATGTTTGTATCGTTTTCCGTGTAATGATATAACAAAGAATTGGTTCTATTTAAGTATTAGGAAGGAAGGTAGGGAAGCGATGTTGTACATTTCCATTGTCACACGACTATTAGAATAATTCGATTGAATTAAACAAATATAATCAATTATTAAACCTAATTGAATACGATAAGTAAGATATTTTCAAATCTGTTTAAAAGTTTCTGTGATTAACGCTTACGAAAACACATATAAAAAGATATATTTTATAAAATAAAGTGATTTGGATTACAAATATCTTTTATATTGAATATTATTTTATATATTTTTCATATATTAGTTAGTATACTGTCAAATAATCAATAATTCATTAAATCAATAGTAAGTGACTCTAAGTTTTTCATGTTTACTATTCTCGAAGCGACAACAGTTTTACAGTCATAACTCTTTTCACCAATCCATAGTATGAACGTGGGTGATTAAACTAGAAACGGGAAACTATTGGTATGGCGTGTCACTACGCAAACTCGTATTAAGCACACTGATAAAGGAATTGAAGAAAAAAATATTTATTTTTCATACTTTTCTTTGTAACTTAAGTTAGTGTAAATGATTGTTTAACGCGCGTTAGATAGGGTCCCTTAAACCTACACCTGGGTCGCAAGTCCCAGTCACTGTTGAAGCTCCTCTCACTACAACGATGGACCCGATACACGCATCGTGAATACATTGAATGATGAGAGGTTTCGTCTCTCTATATATATTAAACCTACACCTGGGTCGCAAGTCCCAGTCACTGTTGAAGCTCCTCTCACTACAACGATGGACCCGACACACGCACCGTGAATACATTGAATGATGAGAGGTTTCGTCTCTCTATATATATTAAACCTACACCTGGGTCACAAGTCCCAGTCACTGTTGAAGCTCCTCTCACTACAACGATGGACCCGACACACGCACCGTGAATACATTGAATGATGAGAGGTTTCGTCTCTCTATATATATTAAACCTACACCTGGGTCACAAGTCCCAGTCACTGTTGAAGCTCCTCTCACTACAACGATGGACCCGACACACGCACCGTGAATACATTGAATGATGAGAGGTTTCGTCTCTCTATATATATTAAACCTACACCTGGGTCACAAGTCCCAGTCACTGTTGAAGCTCCTCTCACTACAACGATGGACCCGACACACGCACCGTGAATACATTGAATGATGAGAGGTTTCGTCTCTCTATATATATTAAACCTACACCTGGGTCACAAGTCCCAGTCACTGTTGAAGCTCCTCTCACTACAACGATGGACCCGACACACGCACCGTGAATACATTGAATGATGAGAGGATTGTGTCTTACATGATGTGATTACAACACCGTGTCATTTCATTAAAGGAGTATGAATATTTTAATTGCTTGTAATATTTCTCATGAAAAATTATACTAAGTCTATCAGAACTTTATCTTTATATATATAATCTTCTGTGAGTGTGTATGTCACTGAACTTCTCTCAAACGACTTGACCGTTTTTGACAAAAAAAATTGTGTGTGTTCAAGGGGATCTGGGAATGGTTTAGATTCACAATTTTGTCCGCTGGACAATCCTTTTTTTAATTAATTTTTAAGTTATTAGTAGTTTTTGATACAAACGTTTTTTTGACATTAGATTTGACAACTAACTAATATGTCAATCATTCTGTCGCACTTCAAAACACGGAGATTTATGGCTTTAATAGGTAAACTCCAAAAATATAAATAAAAAAACGTAACAGATATTTCTTGATTATAGGGCGATACGAAGTTCGCCGGGTCTTCTAGTAAAAATTTTATATGTATATCGTTAAAATATTGTTTTGTCTAAATGAAAATGTTATTAAATCTTCACCTAACAGCAGTTTCAAATATGTATTTGTAGTTTAAAATTTCCTTACGGCTATGTTTGTATTCTTTTTATATTATACTATGACGTATTAAAATTTGTATGTTTGTATGTTACTACATATATAGTAAATAATTAATAGTCATTAACAACCTTTAACCAATCGTTAAATTCATTAGTAAGACACTACTGTTTTGTTTTTTATACTAAAAATAGTCTCATTTATTCCTACTCATTCATTCTTTATGAGTAGTAAAAGGAATTGAGAAATTGAAGTTCATATAATAATTTACCTTTTTTTTTTCGTCATCAGCCTATCAGAGCCCATTGCTGAGCAAAGTCCTCTTTCTCACATGGAGAAGGTTTGAGCATTAATCACCACGCTTGCTCAAGGCGAGTTGGTGATTTCAAACTTATAATTGTGAAATTATAGGTCCAGGTTTCCTCACGATGTTTTTATTCACCGTCTGTCTGTGGTGTCTTAATGCTCTTAGAAAGTACATATGACTCGTAAAAATCACATTGGTACTTGCCAGGATAGAACCCGCGCCCTCGTGCACGAGAGGCGGGTCCTTTAACCACTAGGCCACCACTGACTTAATTTACAAATATATTCTTCTAAATAAATAATTAATAATATTTAAATATTTAAATCTCGGATACATACAGTGGGACTTGGTTCTAAAAATAAAATACATTTCAACCACAATCACATACTTGTCTTAAGTTTCATACTATTATAATAATAAATAGTTAATTTAAATAATAATTTTTTTATTATTATATAAAAACAATATATTTTAGATTAGAAAATCATATTCGCATTATCAAGTGTACCAGTAATTAAGATTAGTTTTAAGTTAAAAAAATATTATATAATTTAATTTGAGATGTCAAAATTATGGATATAACAAATATCAATACATGTTAGAAATGTTACATACTTCACGGTGATCTTCTGTGAGAGGGTGGTACTTCCCCGGTCAAGCCAGCACATGTTCGAGCTGTAGTAACTTGACCACAGCTGGACTCTACCACCTATAATAAATCTTTGCTTTTCTTAAATCACATGGATACTTCTTCTACCTGACAATTTTCCATCTTAGCTAGAGCTGCCTTACATGTTATGAATAGTTTTGGCTAATTGTTTTTACATCAACCCTAAAAGTATATCGTTTGTGATAAAAATATTTCTTCAATTTCTATGTATTTTCAAAATTATTATCTAATCGAAACAGTATTATCCCGGTGTAGGTCAATACAATCAAGAGGTCTAAGGAAACTTATAAGACAGATCACTTAAATTAATACGTAAAATTACATTTATCTTTTATTGGGTTGGACTATCATGATGGATACGTATGAGAAACAATACAAAATCCCCGAGGTTATTTGTGCGTCGGCCTCCTGACCAGACATATTTTTATATCCTCGAATTTTAAAGCGCGTAGTGATAAAAGAGGTTACGGTTCCTTGGGAAACCAACATCCCCAAAGACCATGCCATCAAGGTCAATAAGTATTACGAGCTTACTAACTAACTAACTCGAAATAGGTTCATATATATATAACTACTACACTACTACTACTCTCTATAACCTACTAAAAGTCATGGGCCTGTCCAGAACTCACATTAATTCATTCTTGAAACGTACGTCGGAGGCAGCCCTAGTAGTTTCTTTTCAAATTTGGTTAGGTAGGGAGAGGAGCTTGGACGGTGGAGGTGAGCGTATAACGCGCGTTATTTAAGGGGCCCCTTAAACCTACACCTGGGTCGCAAGTCCCAGTCACTGTTGAAGCTCCTCTCCCTGCAACGCGATGGACCCGCCACCCGCACGGTGAATCCATTGAATGCTAGGAGGTTTCGCCTCTAATTAACTATATAAATATTTCTCGTTGTCGTTAAATACAAATGGAAACGCGCTCACATCCATATAGTGCAGTCATGCTTATTGACTATCAAATAAATTATCTTTATATAATGTCGAAGCTAAGACAGTCCATTTCAGTCTGGATTTTAGATCTTCTAAGGCTAGAGACCATAACCCTTACATTTATTTAGACAATGTCTCTAAAATAGGCTAATAGAAAAACAAAAATAATTAATTGGTCCCATAAAAATGTTACGAACAATGTTTTGTTCTGCAAACAATATATGGATTGATGGCAACGAACTTGTTTTAATATAATAAAAAGCAATTATAACAAAAGAATTTATATTATTACATACATATACATTTAAATATTAATATATTACTTACAATTGAAATCAGATATAATTTTTTTTAAATATATTTAAAAAATGAAATTATGTTGCCGTTTCGATACCTTAATATTTATTTTTATAAGGCGTTGCATATTTAAGTAAATTTCGTATAATAAATTATGTTATTTTGTTTACAGATTTCATTATGCCATCATCAGAGTTCTGGATATCAATATTAACGATGTATTTTTCATCGGTAGTTGTTTCAAATTTTGTAAGTGTCAAGAACACACCAAAATCGATGTTTAGGCCGGAAGAGGTTATATTTTCAACAAATTACAACATAACAAAATTATTAGTACCCTCAGGTGGAACATCCTACATACACGAGGATGTATCAAATATTCCGTCAATCTTTCTGACTATATCTGATCCCAGGTTAGAAGGGGGTAGTTGTATATATGTGCTCGAAGAATTAGCTGCCTATGAAATCCTAGAAGGCGGAAGAGATTCCACCTCAGATTATAGCACCGACAAAAACGTTTACTTCGGCGGCAAAGACGGCGTTTATAGATACGATGCAGAAACTCTGTCAGCTAAGAAATTCGGTCCATTCAGAGACGACATCATTCAGATCCAAAAAGCAAACGGTTCCGATGCTATTTACTTCTTAACATCAGATAAAAAATTGTTCAAACTTCAAAAGAATGGCACGGTAAAGAGCAAGATTCAAGCTGTTTCTTGTGCGTTGGAGTTTGTTTTGGACACTTCAAATAATATCTACTTTATTGCATGCGACGATGGTTTACCCAGGGTCATTAAACCTGATGGAAATTTAGTGGACTTTATGTCAAGTGTCACTGAAGATTTTAAAGAAGTAACGCTTCTGAGACCAGCATTCTTAATGGATAGATCAATACCTTTCATCGCTGATGGGCAATTATATGTTCTGTATGCTAATGGAACTAGCGAGAAAAAAGATTTCTTTATTAAAGAAAGACCGACTGCGTACAGTGTGGATGCCGCTTTATATTTAGTGGCAGCGTTGGATGGTAAGGTTTATGAATTTAATATTATGGAAGCGATGGTTAAATCAATGTTCAGTTTCACTTCGGAATGGCCAAAAGATCTTACGAAACTTATCATGTCGATCATAGAGACGGGGAAGGACGAAATATATAAAGATTTCAATCATTTCTTTTGAAAATTACAATCAAATTGTATATATTTTACTAAGAGGCTGATCTGAGTCATAATAAAACGATAATAATGTATGTAATAAAACCTTTGTATTTTTTGTAAATAAATTGTTTATAACAAATGTTTATAATTATTTTGAGACCCAATCTGACTAACAATTTTAGAAAGTCACTAATAATTTTAGATTTAATATTATTAGCGTTCATAATGGTCAATGGTTTTAAGTTTAAAATAATTTGATTTTAAATACCTTGAACATTGAAAATTTTTAGCAGATTAATTATGTTAGTTCAATATATTTGAGGGATACTTTAATATAATACATATATCATTGTTTTAATTTCCCTCGTTTTTGTGACATTATATAATTTATTGGATGATAAACCATCATATGATAAGGATAACTGGAGCTGTTCTCGATAAACCAGACATATTTAAAACAATTTACAAACTTTATATAAAAATGACCAAATTTCCCACCTTTTTCTCCCCCTCTATCCCAATCAAGGGTGGCAACACATCAACACATCTCTTATGTTGCCTATGTCTATGGTCGATGTTACTACCTACCATCAGCAAGGCCGTCTGCCTGGTGGTCCCCCTTTATCATAAAGAATGTATACATACTATCTACATTTCCTATTATTATAAATTTGTTTGTATGCTTATTTCTTCAACTTTTTTTTCTTCTTTCTTTACTGTCCATACACCATATTTCTTTTATCATTTCCTCCATCAAAAGGATGTCGGGTAGAGATCTGTTGTCTTCTAAGAGACAAGTTATCCTATGATTTCTTTTAAAATACTATAACAATTCTTCTTTTGGTACATAAATAAATATTTATTTATTCATTCATTCACATTCACTGGTTCATTCATTCATTCATTTGATAAGCACCCTGTGAACATAATTGTCATCATTACTTCAGAAAATTGAAAATTCACAAAATTCAACTTAATAAGACAATATTTAAAAAAAAATTAATGTAATTAATAACTATTATTTTTGTTTTTTACTAAAAATTCACTGGTTTATCCCGTGACTCATAGAAAACTTTTGTTATCAATGTTAAATATAAACATAAAGATACGCGCGAATGGGACCTTTATATCTTGTAATTATTATTTGACAAAAAACAATAATGATAACAAGTATAAAATTGTAAGTTGCACATAGAAGAGCGCATATCTACTTTATACTCGTAGTTGGTAAGTGTAACAATTGATATATAGTAGCTTATCCGTGACTTCGCTTCATTTATTTCAGTTAAAAACATCTTCCGTATTTTTTTATTATTAATATAAGGGTAACTTTGTTTTTACTATCGTATCGTTGGAATATCTTTATATATATATATATATATGTCACTGAACTTCTCTCAAACGACTGGACCGATTTTGATGAAATTTTTTGTGTTTGTTCAAGGGGATCTGGGAATGGTTTAGATCTACAATTTTGTCCGCTGGACAAGGGTTTTTTATTAATTTATTAGCAGTTGTTGATACAAACGTTTTTTTTTGACGTTAGATTTGACACCTAACTAAAATGTCAATCATTCTGTCGCACTTCAAAAGACGGAGATTTATGGCTTTAATAGATAAACTCCAAAAATATGTATAAAAAACGTAACAGATATTTCTTGATTATAGGGCGATACGAAGTTCGCCTGGTCTTCTAGTTTATATACAGGGTGACTGGTGAATTACTATCGATACTTGAGGACGTGATATTTGACGATCATATATGAGAAAATAAAAATTAATATAACATAAATATTAATAAACTTCTAAGAAAAGTTAACCAAAAGTTATGTAATTAATTACGCATCGTGTGAACACCCTACAGATTAGGTATACACACACACTCACACATATGCGTGAGACGGCGTGGTGTTGTATCAGCACGCAGCCGCACGCGTCCACACTTGGAACACTTGGAACGTGTCAACACTTTATTTATTTATACGGAAATTTTGTCAAAAATTAAGTGCCTTTTTTTTACATAATTCAAATGAGAATCATGTACCGAGTATTCTCCTTAAATATTGATAGTAATTCACCAGTCACCCTGTATAATGGTCAATTTTATATAATTGCATAACAGTGTGATTTTTCAACTTAAAATTATAAGAGTATACGACTTATTTATGTTAATCAATATTGTGGGATGTGATGTTTTTATTTCATTTTTTATTTTATTTTAATAGTTTATTCAAAATTATATTCATTTAGAAGGCTTCTTGTGAATATAACGATGGTTCTGTATTATTTAATTAATTTAATAATTATAACTGCGACGATTGAAAGAAACGATTCGAAGAAAGCCATGTGTGTTCTGTCATACTTACTATTAATACAATATATAAGTGATAGTTTTGCACTTGTTTCAAATTGTTTATTAACTTTTTTAAATAAGTATTTCATTATAACGATGAAATTTATTACTTCAGTAAATATAGGAATGTTACGATCGAGGAAATGAATCGAAATCTTTATATCAATTACATATAAACCATTTATTTTCTATTTATTTATGAAAGTCATATTGTCTGTTCACATTAATATTTATTCCATTGTGTAACTCATTATAAATAAGCTATATATTACTTTTTTAATAATCATTGACGGTCGATCATTTTTAACAGTGTATACATACATATATTTGAAGTACATTTTATATGGAAGACTTGTAGTGACTCGATTGATAGTGGAAAAAAAACATGAATATATTTTCAAATTTTTTCAAAAAAAAAAATTACTTAATTAATCTCTAAAATTTTACAAGTAAAACATAATCCCTTAAACATTATTGTGTCTATATTATCCTTATTAATGTATTGTAATAATTATTTTCAGACGGGAAAAATGAGAACACAAGCGTTTTTATGTGTAGTCCTCTTTATAGGAGAGTATATAGCTGCACCTCTCTCAGAAAAAAATGGTCACAAATTTGTAGTATCAAGAGAAATATTCGATGACAATTTCATTAAATGTAAAGCAAAACATGATATCGTGGATATTATGGTACCGTTGAATGCTTTTACCTTGAAGACTAATATAGGTTTTGATTCTAATAGCAACATCGATATGACGGTTTTCTTAGTAGAAGCTGATCTTAAGAATGGCAAACGTGTTGACAAAGGACTGTACTTATGTAAGAATGATGAGGTGAAAATGGTTCTGCCTAATGGAAGAGCAGCGGCGGCTTCATTTAACGATGAAAAAATAGTCTATGTCGGAGCCAGCGATGGTTTATATGTTTATAATGTTGAGTCCAAGTCCGCTGTTAAATATGGAAATTTTTCCGATAGCATTATTGATATCGGTACAAATATAGATGGAAAACACATTTACATTCTGAGTGAAGATCACAAATTATATAATGTGACAAATGAAGGCGCAGACAAAGAGTTGCTCCAAGATGTAGAAGATGCCCAGGAAATTGTTTTGGGTTATTCTGAAAATATTTACTTCTATGACTCGAATAAGGATGTATTCATTAAAAATGCTGATGGGGTTATCAAAGTTCAGGGTCTACCGGAAGGCAGGAAATCCCTTAAGCTTGTAAACCCAACGATAATGATGGTGGAAGCGGTTCCTTTGATTATAGACAACGCTCTATACTATATCAAAGCTAATGGAACAGCTGAAGCTACTGGCGGGGAGTTCAGTGCCAATGCGAAACCAACTGCTTATGGCGCTTATGCCACTCTTGTGCTGTACTACGCATATAATAAAAATCTGTATGAATTCTTTGTTGGGCCAATGTTTAAATAGAAATTGAGAGAAGTAGCATCGTCGCTGAAAATCGTAAAAACTCTTTAGACTAGTAGAGATCTTAATGTATGTAGAACTATTGAAATATGTATTTATATAATAAATATTTTTACTAACAACAAATCGTTTCTTTTGTTTGTACAACAAATATATTTTATAATTGAATAACTATTTACTGACAGTCGTGTCATAATTTATGTGCTTTGTGTAATGGAAAAAGTAGAAATGTTCAATTGCAGATATTTCTCTATCAACCCTAGATCACCACAAAATAAAAAAAACACACAAATTTCATAAAGAAAACCAGGGGCTACTTCTTAAGCGAAAAGTCTTATATTGGTATCAAATCCTAGTCATCTTAGAGTTTTCGTAGCTAATATATTCTTCTTTAAGTTTAAATACCTATCTTATTTGTTACATCTTGATCAATTATGATAATAATCTTAAGAGAAAAGAACATGGGTGGCACTTTTATATCGAGAATTCTTTAATTACACAACTGGAACATTAAAACGGGAATGATTTAATAAAAAAAGTTTTTTTACTGTCATTTTAAATTAGGACTGGAGTCATAATCACCTTGGTGCCTTTAGTCCAAGTTGTTATGAAACTAGATACAGACAGTCTTTACGTTACCGTACCATTTATTCTCTTGTGATATGATTTGCAGTGAACGTTGTTCCTATAAAATATAAATAAATACTAAGAGTTTTGATGCTACTAATCTTCTCTTCTATATATATAAAAATGGATTGCTGTTCCTTAGTCTCGCTAAAACTCGAGAACGGCTGAACCGATTTTGCTAATTTTAGTCTTGAAATACTCCTGTAAGTCCAGGGAAGGTTTAAAAGGTGAGAAAAATTGGAATTATTGCCGAGAAAATCCTAAAAACAGCCCTTTTCTATTTCCCATACAAATGATTTTTTGACATTAGACTTGACAACTAACTAATATGTCAATCATTCTGTTCGATTGAAACAGTAGAAATTTAATAAATACCAATACCACGTTATTGAAGACGGAATAGAGTTTGCCCTGTCAGCTATACCTATATTACTAATGACGAAATTAACGCGGACGAAGTCGCGGGCAAAAACTAGTTATTAATATTTCGTCTGGTGTATTACATTTAACTAAAAGTTTTATCGATAGTCAATATTGAAAATAGTAATAACAAGCTTAATAAATTATGCCATCCATTTCTCTTGTGTCATTTGATTCGTAAAACCAGGTTGAAATAATTTTCGTATTATTAAATTAAAAATTCACAAAATTCAACTTAATCAGACAATATTTTGGAAAACAAATTAATGTAATTAAGAATTAAATTTAGTTTCTTACTAAAAATTCACTGGTTTATCCCGTAACTCATAATAAACTTTTGTTATCAATGTTAAATATAAACATAAAGATACGCGCGAATGGGACCTTTATATCTTGTAATTATTATTTGACAAAAAACAATAATGATAACAAGTATAAAATTGTAAGTTGCACATAGAAGAGCGCATATCTACTTTATACTCGTAGTTGGTAAGTGTAACAATTGATATATAGTAGCTTATCCGTGACTTCGCTTCATTTATTTCAGTTAAAAACATCTTCCGTATTATTCATTTTATTATTAATATAAATTGAATTTTGTTAATACTATCGTATCGTTGGAATATCTTTATATATATAATTTTTCTGTGAGTGTGTATGTAACTGAACTTCTCTCAAACGACTGGACCGATTTTGATGAATTTTTTTGTGTTTGTTCAAGGCGATCTGGGAATGGTTTAGATTCACAATTTTGTCCGCTGGACAATGTTTTTTTTATTAATTTATTAGCAGTTGTTGATACAAACGTTTTTTTGACGTTAGATTTGACACCTAACTAAAATGTCAATCATTCTGTCGCACTTCAAAAGACGGAGATTTATGGCTTTAATAGATAAACTCCAAAAATATGTATAAAAACGTAACAGATATTTCTTGATTATAGGGCGATACGAAGTTCGCCTGGTCTTCTAGTTTATATACAGGGTGACTGGTGAATTACTATCGATACTTGAGGACGTGATATTTGACGATCATATATGACAAAATAAAAATTAATATAACATAAATATTAATAAACTTCTAAGAAAAGTTAACCAAAAGTTATGTAATTAATTTCGCATCGTGTGAACACCCTACAGATTAGGTATACACACACACTCACACATATGCATGAGACGGCGTGGTGTTGTATCAGCACGCAGGAGCACGCGTCCACACTTGGAACACTTGGAACGTGTCAACACTTTATTTATTTATACGGAAATTATGTCAAAAATTAAGTGCCTTTTTTTTACATAATTCAAATGAGAATCATGTACCGAGTATTCTCCTTAAATATTGATAGAAATTCACCAGTCACCCTGTATAGTGGTCAATTTTATATAATTGCATAACAGTGTGATTTTTCAACTTAAAATTATAAGAGTATACGACTTATTTATGTTAATCAATATTGTGGGATGTGATATTTTTATTTCATTTTTCATTTTTTTTATTTTATTTTAATAGTTTATTCAAAATTATATTCATTTAGAAGGCTAATAAGTTTTGTTTTGAATGCTAGATTCGTGTTTTTTCTTGTGAATATTACGATGGTTCTGTATTATTTAATTAATTTAATAATTATAACTAAGACGATTGAAAGAAACGATTCGAAGAAAGCCATGTGTGTTCTGTCATACTTACTATTAATACAATATATAAGTGATAGTTTTGCACTTATATCAAATTGTTTATTAACTTTTTTAAATAAGTATTTCATTATAACGATGAAATTTATTACGTCAGTAACTATAGGAATGTTACGATCGAGGAAATGAATCGAAATCTTTATATCAATTACATATAAACCATTTATTTTCTATTTATTTATGAAAGTCATATTGTCTGTTCACATTAATATTTATTCCATTTTGTAACTCATTATAAATAAGCTATATATTCCTTTTTTAATAATGATTGACGGTCGATTATTTTTAACAGTGTATACATACATATATTTGAAGTATATTTTATATGGAAGACTTGTAGTGACTCGATTGATAGTGGAAAAAAAAACATGAATATATTTTCAAATTTTTCATAAAAAAAATTAGTAAATTAATGACAATTTCCACATGGAAACAACTTATTTAGTACTTCTATGTATAGTTTATTTTATCAATGAATTTTGACATGACTTAAATACAAAAACAGATAAGGTGTTGCGTTTTATTTACAATACCTATGTATATACTATATTTTTATTTAAAATAAACGTATTTATAATTTTTATCGATACATTTTTGTTAAGTCGTTAAAAACATTGTAAACCGTTTTAAAATCAATCTCTGAAATTTTACAAGTAAAACATAATCCTTTAAACATTATTGTGTCTATATTATCCTTATTAATGTATTGTAATAATTATTTTCAGACTGGAAACATGAGAACACAAGCGTTTTTATGTGTAGTCCTCTTTATAGGAGGGGATATAGCTGCACCTTTTTCTTTTGAAAAGGATGGAAAAATTGTGATATCAGGAGAAACATTCGATGACAATTTCATTAAATGTAAAGCAAAACATGATATCGTGGATATTATGGTACCGTTGAATGCTCTTAACTATGACGAGGCTATGAAATCTATTTCCTTGGAGTCTATGGCGGAGATTGATTTTGATATAAAGCGCCTCGATATGACGGTTTTCCTAGTAGAAGCTGATCTTAAGAATGGCAAACGTGTTGACAAAGGACTGTACTTATGTAAGAATGGTGAGGTGAAAATGGTTCTGCCTAATGGAAGAGCAGCGGCGGCTTCAACAAACGACAATAAATTAGTCTATTTCGGAGCCAGCGATGGTTTATATGTTTATAATGTTGACTCCAAGTCCGCTGATAAATATGGAAATTTTTCCGATAGCATTATTGATATCGCTACAAACGAAGATGGAAAACTCATTTACATTCTGAGTGAAGATCACAAATTATATAATGTGACAAATGAAGGCGCAGACAAAGAGTTGCTCCAAGATGTAGAAGATGCCCAGGAAATTGTTTTGGATTATTTTGAAAATATTTACTTCTATGACTCCAATAAGGATGTATTCATTAAAAATGCTGATGGGATTATCAAAGTTCTGGGTCTACCGGAAGGCAGGAAATCCCTTAAGTTTTTGGGCCAAGAGTTCCTTAAAGAGCCATATGTTACTTTGATGATAGACAACGCTCTATACGCTATCTATCCTTTTGGAGTTCCTCTAGCAAGTGCTGTGGAATTGAGCCCTAATGCGAAACCAACTGCTAATGGCCTTGGGTCCGAAACATTGCAATACTACGCATACAACAAAAATCTGTATGAATTTTATCTGTGAGCACTCGTAACTGAAGTAATAATTGGGGGTAAGGAAGAAGAAATTGATAAAATTACCAACAACGTTTAAAAACGCAAAAACAGTAATGAAAACACGTCTCGTTATTTAGTACAGACTGACTATATTAAGGTTTAGTACATTTCACAATAGATGTCGCTAGTAACATATTTATGTATTTTGATAAAATTGACCGCAACACCCCCACTTACAAAATAAACTAAATTTTTCCATAAACTTCTGATGTTTAATTTTAGTTAACAACCCTTTAGTTAACAAATCTGCTGGCACTTCATTTGTGGATAAATAATAATTTACCTCTACTTTTCCACTCTTGATAGTCTCCCTAACAAAATGATGTTTAACATCTAAATGTTTTGATCTATTACGACATTGATGATTTGTACCCATCTTTAATGCCCTTTGGTTATCACAATTTAGCTTAATAGTTAACAAAGACCCAGTTAATTCAAGCAATAGTTCTCTTAGATATATTGTGTCCCTACAAGCTTCAGAGAGCGCAACATATTCAGCCTCTGTACTGGATAAGGCTGTAACTTTCTGCTTCCTACTCTGCCACTAAGCAGCTGTTCCTGACATTACAAAAGAAAATCCACTGTAAGACTTTCTATCTGAGCTGTCAGTCGCCCAATCAGCATCAACATGTAAAACAATATAAACTCCTACCTTGACAAATAAACTTTAAACAATACATTTTAATTTTCTTTAAGTACCTGAGAATTCCTTTAACATAGTTCCAATGTTCAATATTGTAGCAAGTATTAAATTGACTTAGATAACTAACAGAGTATGCAATACCACGTATTGTCATGACAGCCAAATACATAAGACAATCCAAGAGTTTTTGATAACTAATTTGCTCTGTACATTTTTCTGCTTTTGTTACGTTCAATTTACTCTCTGTAATATTAAATGTTTGTCATAATTCTTCTGTGTACTGTTATCGTTCTATACTTATCTCATACAATGGGTTTCTTTTCATATCACACCTCATATGGAGTTTTGTCATTGAGACCGGATGCTATAGATCGATTTTTGTAGTACACAGCTGTTATATTTAGTGGCAGCGTTGGATGGTAAGGTTTATGAATTTAATATTATGGAAGCGATGGTTAAATCAATGTTCAGTTTCACTTCGGAATGGCCAAAAGATCTTACGAAACTTATCATGTCGATCATAGAGACGGGGAAGGACGAAATATATAAAGATTTCAATCATTTCTTTTGAAAATTACAATCAAATTGTATATATTTTACTAAGAGGCTGATCTGAGTCATAATAAAACGATAATAATGTATGTAATAAAACCTTTGTATTTTTTGTAAATAAATTGTTTATAACAAATGTTTATAATTATTTTGAGACCCAATCTGACTAACAATTTTAGAAAGTCGCTAATAATTTTAGATTAAATATTATTAGCGTTCATAATGGTCAATGGTTTAAAGTTTAAAATAATTTGATTTTAAATACCTTGAACTTTGAAAATTTCTAGCAGATTAATTATGTTAGTTTAATATATTTTAGGGATACTTTAACATAATACATATATCATTGTTTTAATTTCCCTCGTTTTTGTGACATTATATAATTTATTGGATGATAAACCATCATATGATAAGGATAACTGGAGCTGTTCTCGATAAACCAGACATATTTAAAACAATTTACTAACTTTATATAAAAATGAGCTAATTCTTTTTGTTCACAGCAATATCTTGCATCCTGCTTGCAAATTTTTGGTGAGTGTTTCCTCTACAAGAATGGCTGACGAAATTATTTATTTATTAATAAAAAAAATTGTTACAATTACAGTATTATAAAAGAAATGTGATGTACAAAGGATAGCTTATCAGTTAAGAGATATCACTACCAGAAACCCTTTTGAAAGAGGAAATAGGAAGAGAAATGTGGACTAGATAAAAAAAAGAGAAAAGGTAAAAATAAAAAAGAGGTATATATATGAAAACAAACCAAATTATAATAGTATAAAATTCTGATATTATACTAACATAGATATATACATAAATATTTACGAATAGAATAAATAGATAAACGTTACATATTATATTAAGGTAAAAGTGACAGAAGATGTCTCTTAAGTCGATGTTTAAATGCAACTGCACTTGGACTCTCTCTGTAAAGAGAAGGAGAGAGTGAGTTTCATAGTTTTGCACCTTGGACGGAGAAGGATTTACGATAAAATTTTGTATTAAAGGAGGGGATATCAAGAGGATTTTGTGTAACACAAGAGCTAGGAAGGATTCTAGGGGAGGAAAATTTAAAACGCTCGAGTAGGTACGGGGGAGAAGAATGTTTGAACATATTGTACATTAGCGTTAAAACATGCATATTCCGGCGAAAGCGAATAGGGAACCACTTTAATTTGCTGAGGAATTCAGAATTGTGGTCGTACTTACGCAAGCCGGCAAGCTATTTATTTTATAATTATTCCTTGAAAATCAGTCTTTCTTTTAGATAATTTAAAAGTAACCCAACATATTCATCAGTAATCGTTGGATAGTTATTAAGATGGTTTAAAAATGACAGAAAAAATATACATTCTCTGTTTTTACTTTTGGCTATATTTTTAATACCTTAAAATATAATAATACATATTTATATTAAGAATTAATATTAAGAATATTAAGAATTAATTTGACAAACAATATTAATATTAAGAATTGATCGGTAAAACATTTGATCACATTGATAAAACTTTAAAACATTCTAGGTGCCCAATGGATGGAGGGAGCATAAAGATTGCATCTAAACTTTTGTTTTTCTCTTGATGTATCCCATATTATTTAGTACATATATATAACGTAAGCCAATATTTTCTTAACATATAATATAATTGTGATAGTGATATACTTATTTATTGAGCTTTGACATAAGATAATACTCAGTTGCCCAGTAGAAAATTTTCATTGAATTTCCTCAGAAAATGTAATATATATATATATATAGCCGGTCTTTATAATATATGTGATAAAAAAAGTTTATTATTTATTTAGATATATCTTATTTTTTATTGGTATTTTTTATTTACAGGTGGTAGAGTCCAGCTGTGGTCAAGTTACTAGCGCTCGAATGTGCTGGCTTGACCGGGGAAGTACCACCCTCTCACAGAAGATCGACGTCAAGTAGTCTTTAATGACTGCCTTTCGTCCGCTGAGTGAGGGAGCCGGTTCCCTTTCCCTTTTCCCATCCTTTCCTACCCCTCCCTTTTCCTTCCTTTCCCACCTTTTCCTGCCCCTCTACCCCAATCAAGGATGGCGACATATCAACACATCTCTTATGTTGCCTATGTCTATGGTCGATGTTACTACCTACCATCAGCAAGGCCGTCTGCTCAGTGGCCCCCTTTATCATAAAGAATGTATACATACTATCTACATTTCCTATTATTATAAATTTGTTTGTATGCTTATTTCTTCAACTTTTTTTACTTCTTTCTTTACTGTCCATACACCATATTTCTTTTCTCATTTCCTCTATCAAAAGGATTTCGGGTAGAGATCTGTTGTCTTCTAAGAGACAAGTTATCCTATGATTTCTTTTAAAATACTATAATAATTCTTCTTTTGGTACATAAATAAATATTTATTTATTCATTCATTCACATTCACTGGTTCATTCATTCATTCATTCATTTGATAAACACCCTGTGAACATAATTGTCACCATTACTTCAGAAAATTGTTATCTCTTGCAGATGTTTAAAGGTAGTAGGAAAATTAATTCCATTTTTCACTGAAGTGTAAAGCAAAAATTAAAATTCACAAAATTAAACTTAATAACACAATATTTAAAAAAAAAAATAATGTAATTAATAACTATTATTTTTGTTTTTTACTAAAAATTCACTGGTTTATCCCGTGACTCATAATAAACTTTTGTTATCAATGTTAAATATAAACATAGAGATACACGCGAATGGGTCCTTTATATCTTGTAATTATTATTTGACAAAAAACAATAATGATAACAAGTATAAAATTGTAAGTTGCACATAGAAGAGCGCATATCTACTTTATACCCGTAGTTGGTAAGTGTAACAATTGATATATAGTAGCTTATCCGTGACTTCGCTTCATTTATTTAAGTTAAAAACATATTGCGTATTATTCATTTTATTATTAATATAAATTGAATTTTGTTAATACTATCGCATCGTTGGAATATTTATATGTAATTGGGACTTTGATATAATTGCATAACAGTGTGAGCTTTTAACTTAAAATTATAAGAGTATACGACTTATTTATGTTAATGAATAGTGTGGGATGTGATATTTTTATTTCATTTTTTATTTTATTTTAATAGTTTATTCAAAATTATATTCATTTAGAAGGCTTCTTGTGAATATTACGATGGTTCTGTATTATTTAATTAATTTAATAATTATAACTAAGACGATTGAAAGAAACGATTCGAAGAAAGCCATGTGTGGTCTGTCATACTTACTATTAATACAATATATACATATAAGTGATAGTTTTGCACTTGTTTCAAATTGTTTATTAACTTTTTTAAATAAGTATTTCATTAAAACGATGAAATTTATTACTTCAGTAACTATAGGAATGTTACGATCGAGGAAATGAATCGAAATCTTTATATCAATTACATATAAACCATTTATTTTCTATTTAGTTATGAAAGTCATATTGTCTGTTCGCATTAATATTTATTCCATTTTGTAACTCATTATAAATAAGCTATATATTCCTTTTTTAATAATGATTGACGGTCGATTATTTTTAACAGTGTATACATACATATATTTGAAGTATATTTTATATGGAAGACTTGTAGTGACTCGATTGATAGTGGAAAAAAAAACATGAATATATTTTAAAATTTTCATAAAAAAAATTAGTAAATTAATGACAATTTCCACATGGAAACAACTTATTTAATACTTTTATGTATGGTTTATTTTATCAATAAATTTGACATGACTTAAATACAAAAACAGATAAGGTTTCATTTTATTTACAATACCTATGTGTATACTATATTTTTTTTATTTAAAATAAACGTATTTATAATTTATATCGATACATTTTTGTTAAGTCGTTAAAAACATTGTAAACAGTGTTAAAATTAATCTCTGAAATTTTACAAGTAAAACATAATCCTTTAAACATTATTGTGTCTATATTATCCTTATTAATGTATTGTAATAATTATTTTCAGACTGGAAACATGAGAACACAAGCGTTTTTATGTGTTGTCCTCTTTATAGGAGGGGATATAGCTGCACCTTTTTCTTTTGAAAAGGATGGAAAAATTGTGATATCAGGAGAAACATTCGATGACAATTTCATTAAATGTAAAGCAAAACATGATATCGTGGATGTTATGGTACCGTTGAATGCTCTTAACTATGACGAGTCTATGAAATCTATTTCCTTGGAGTCTATGGCGGAGATTGATTTTGATATAAAGCGCCTCGATATGACGGTTTTCCTAGTAGAAGCTGATCTTAAGGATGGCAAACGTGTTGACAAAGGACTGTACTTATGTAAGAATGGTGAGGAGAAAATGGTTCTGTCTAATGGAAGAGCAGCGGCGGCTTCAACAAACGACAATAAATTAGTCTATTTCGGAGCCAGCGATGGTTTATATGTTTATAATGTTGACTCCAAGTCCGCTGTTAAATATGGAAATTTTTCCGATAGCATTATTGATATCGCTACAAACGAAGATGGAAAACTCATTTACATTCTGAGTGAAGATCACAAATTATATAATGTGACAAATGAAGGCGCAGACAAAGAGTTGCTCCAAGATGTAGAAGATGCCCAGGAAATTGTTTTGGATTATTTTGAAAATATTTACTTCTATGACTCCAATAAGGATGTATTCATTAAAAATGCTGATGGGATTATCAAAGTTCTGGGTCTACCGGAAGGCAGGAAATCCCTTAAGTTTTTGGGCCAAGAGTTCCTTAAAGAGCCATATGTTACTTTGATGATAGACAACGCTCTATACGTTATCTATCCTTTTGGATTTCCTTATGCAATTGCTGTGGAATTGAGCCCTAATGCGTTACCAACTGCTAATGGCCTTTGATCCGAAATAGTGCATTACTACGCATACAACAAAAATCGGTATGAAGTTTATCTGTGAGTACTTTTAACTGAAGTAATAATTGGGGGTAAGGAAGAAGAAATTGTTAAAATTGCCAACAACGTTTAAAAACGCAAAAACTGTAATGCAAACACGTCTCGTTATTTAGTACAGACTGACTATATTAAGGTTAAGTACATTTCACAACAGATGTCGCTAGTAAGAAATTTATGTATTTTGATAAAATTGACCGCAACACCCCCACTTACAAAATAAACTAAATTTTTCCATAAACTTCTGATGTTTAATTTTAGTTAACAACCCTTTAGTTAACAGATCTGCTGGCACTTCATTTGTGGATAAATAATAATCTACCTCTATTTTTCCACTCTTGATAGTCTCCCTAACAAAATGATGTTTAACATCTAAATGTTTCGATCTATTATGACATTGATGATTTGTAGCCATCTTTAATGCCCTTTGGTTATCACAATTTAGCTTAATAGTTAACAAAGACCCAGTTAATTCAAGCAATAGTTCTCTTAGATATATTGTGTCCCTACAAGCTTCAGAGATCGCAATATATTAAGCCTCTGTACTGGATAAGGCTGCAACTTTCTGCTTCCTACTCTGCCACTAAGCAGCTGTTCCTGACATTACAAAACAAAATCCACTGTAAGACTTTCTATCTAAGCTGTCAGTCGCCCAATCAGCATCAACATATAAAACAATATAAACTCTCACCTTGACAAATAAACTTTAAACGATACATTTTAATTTTCTTTAAGTACCTGAGAATTCCTTTAACATAGTTCCAATGTTCAATATTGTAGCAAGTATTAAATTGACTTAGATAACTAACAGAGTATGCAATACCACGTCTTGTCATGACAGCCATATACGAGTACATAAGACAACCCAAGAGTTTTTGATAACTAATTTGCTCTGTACATTTTTCTGCTTTTGTTATGTTCAATTTACTCTCTGTAATATTAAATGTTTGTCATAATTCTTCTGTGTACTGTTATCGTTCTATACTTATCTCATACAATGGGTTTCTTTTCATATCACACCTCATATGGAGTTTTGTCATTGAGACCGGATGCTATAGATCGATTTTTGTAGTACACAGCTGTTATATTTAGTGGCAGCGTTGGATGGTAAGGTTTATGAATTTAATATTATGGAAGCGATGGTTAAATCAATGTTCAGTTTCACTTCGGAATGGCCAAAAGATCTTACGAAATTTATCATGTCGATCATAGAGACGGGGAAGGACGAAATATATAAAGATTTCAATCATTTCTTTTGAAAATTACAATCAAATTGTATATATTTTACTAAGAGGCTGATCTGAGTCATAATAAAACGATAATAATGTATGTAATAAAACCTTTGTATTTTTTGTAAATAAATTGTTTATAACAAATGTTTATAATTATTTTGAGACCCAATCTGACTAACAATTTTAGAAAGTCACTAATAATTTTAGATTTAATATTATTAGCGTTCATAAAGGTCAATGGTTTTAAGTTTAAAATAGTTTGATTTTAAATACCTTGAACATTGAAAATTTTTAGCAGATTAATTATGTTAGTTCAATATATTTGAGGGATACTTTAACATAATACATATATCATTGATTTAATTTCCCTCGTTTTTGTGACATTATACAATTTATTGGATGATAAACCATCATATGATAAGGATAACTGGAGCTGTTCTCGATAAACCAGACATATTTAAAACAATTTACAAACTTTATATAAAAATGACCAAATTCTTTTTTGTTCACTGCACTATCTTGCATCCTGCTTGCAAATTTTTGGTGAGTATTTCCTCTACAAGAATGGCTGACGAAATTATTTATTTATTTTTTTTATGTACCAAAAAAATTGTTACAATTACAGTATTAAAAAAGAAATGTGATGTACAAAGGATAGCTTATCAGTTAAGAGATATCACTACCAGAAACCCTTTTGAAAGAGGAAATAGGAAGAGAAATGTGGACTAGATAAAAAAAGAGAAAAGGTAAAAATAAAAAAGAGGTATATATATGAAAACAAACCAAATTATAATAGTATAAAATTCTGATATTATACTAACATAGATATATACATAAATCTTTACGAATAGAATAAATAGATAAACGTTACATATTATATTAAGGTAAAAGTGACAGAAGATGTCTCTTAAGTCGATGTTTAAATGCAACTGCACTTGGACTCTCTCTGTAAAGAGAAGGAGAGAGTGAGTTTCATAGTTTTGCGCCTTGGACGGAGAAGGATTTACGATAAAATTTTGTATTAAAGGAGGGAATATCAAGAGGATTTTGTGTAACACAAGAGCTAGGAAGGATTCTAGGGGAGGAAAATTTAAAACGCTCGAGTAGGTACGGGGGAGAAGAATGTTTGAACATATTGTACATTAGCGTTAAAACATGCATATTCCGGCGAAAGCGAGTAGGGAACCACTTTAATTTGCTGAGGAATTCAGAATTGTGGTCGTACTTACGCAAGCCGGCAAGCAATTTATTTTATAATTTTTCCTTGAAAATCACTCTTTCTTTTAGATAATTTAAAAGTAACCCAACATATTCAGCAGCAATCGTTGGATAGTTATTAAGATGGTTTAAAAATGACAGAAAAAATATGCATACTTTGTTTTTACTTTTGGCTATATTTTTAATACCTTAAAATATAATAATACATATTTATATTAAGAATTAATATTAAGAATATTAAGAATTAATCGGACAAACCATATTAATATTAAGAATTGATCGGTAAAACATTTGATCACATTGATAATACTTTAAAACATTCTAGGTGCCCAATGGATGGAGGGAGCATAAAGATTGCATCTAAACTTTTGTTTTTCTCTTGATGTATCCGATATTATTTAGTACATATATATAACGTAAGTCAATATTTTCTTAACATATAATATAATTGTGATAGTGATATACTTATTTATTGAGCTTTGACATAAGATAATACTCAGTTGCCCAGTAGAAAATTTTCATTGAATTTCCTCAGAAAATGTAATATATATATAGCCGGTCTTTATAATATATGTGATAAAAAAGTTTATTATTTATTTAGATATATCTTATTTTTTATTGGTATTTTTATTTACAGGTGGTAGAGCCCAGCTGTGGTCAAGTTACTAGCGCTCGAATGTGCTGGCTTGACCGGGGAAGTACCACCCTCTCACAGAAGGTCGACGTCAAGTAGTCTTTAATGACTGCCTTTCGTCCGCTGAGTGAGGGAGCCGGTTCCCTTTCCCTTTTCCCAACCTTTCCTACCCCTCTCTTTTCCTTCCTTTCCCACCTTTTCCTGCCCCTCTACCCCAATCAAGGATGGCGACATATCAACACATCTCTTATGTTGCCTATGTCTATGGTCGATGTTACTACCTACCATCAGCAAGGCCGTCTGCCCGGTGGTCCCCTTTATCATAAAGAATGTATACATACTATCTACATTTCCTATTATTATAAATTTGTTTGTATGCTTATTTCTTCAACTTTTTTTACTTCTTTCTTTACTGTCCATACACCATATTTCTTTTCTCATTTCCTCTATCAAAAGGATTTCGGGTAGAGATCTGTTGTCTTCTAAGAGACAAGTTATCCTATGATTTCTTTTAAAATACTATAATAATTCTTCTTTTGGTACATAAATAAATATTTATTTATTCATTCATTCACATTCACTGGTTCATTCATTCATTCATTCATTTGATAAACACCCTGTGAACATAATTGTCACCATTACTTCAGAAAATTGTTATCTCTTGCAGATGTTTAAAGGTAGTAGGAAAATTAATTCCATTTTTCACTGAAGTGTAAAGCAAAAATTAAAATTCACAAAATTCAACTTAATAACACAATATTAAAAAAAAAATAATGTAATTAATAACTATTATTTTTGTTTTTTACTAAAAATTCACTGGTTTATCCCGTGACTCATAATAAACTTTTGTTATCAATGTTAAATATAAACATAGAGATACACGCGAATGGGTCCTTTATATCTTGTAATTATTATTTGACAAAAAACAATAATGATAACAAGTATAAAATTGTAAGTTGCACATAGAAGAGCGCATATCTACTTTATACTCGTAGTTGGTAAGTGTAACAATTCATATATAGTAGCTTATCCGTGACTTCGCTTCATTTATTTAAGTTAAAAACATCTTGCGTATTATTCATTTTATTATTAATATAAAGGAAACTTTGTTTTTACTATCGTATCGTTGGAATATCTTTATATATGTATATAATTTTTCTGTGAGTGTGTATGTAACTGAACTTCTCTCAAAAACGACTGGACCGATTTTGATGAAATTTTTTGTGTTTGTTCAAGGGGATCTGGGAATGGTTAAGATTCACAATTTTGTCCGCTGGACAATGTTTTTTTTATTAATTTATTAGCAGTTGTTGATATAAACGGTTTTTTTTTTTTTTTGACGTTAGATTTGATACCTAACTAATATGTCAATCATTCTGTCGCACTTCAAAAGACGGAGATTTATGGCTTTAATAGATAAACTCCAAAAATATGTATAAAAAACGTAACAGATATTTCTTGATTATAGGGCGATACGAAGTTCGCCTGGTCTTCTAGTTTATATACAGGGTGACTGGTGAATTACTATCGATACTTGAGGACGTGATATTTGACGATCATATATGACAAAATAAAAATTAATATAACATAAATATTAATAAACTTCTAAGAAAAGTTAACCAAAAGTTATGTAATTAATTACGCATCGTGTGAACACCCTACAGATTAGGTATACACACACACTCACACATATGCATGAGACGGCGTGGTGTTGTATCAGCACGCAGGAGCACGCGTCCACACTTGGAACACTTGGAACGTGTCAACACTTTATTTATTTATACGGAAATTTTGTCAAAAATTAAGTGCCTTTTTTTTTTTACATAATTCAAATGAGAATCATGTACCGAGTATTCTCCTTAAATA